CTGACCAATACTGACATACTTGCTCAAACAAATCAATATTCTTCCTTTGATTCACTTTTTTTGGGGGGAAATAAGTTCATATGTCAATGTAAAAGCTGACCCTTCCAACCTCTCCGCCAAATGAATTTTTATATCTTCAAGATAACAAGATAATTAAGGAACAATAAACTTTTCTTTAACTTTGCCTTTTTTTCTTCTTTACATTCCCCTGAACTTACGTGCGGAGCCCTCATTACTGAGATAGAAAAACAGTGATGCTAAATATTTACCAACCAGCCCTTGGGGAGAGACTCTGATTTGTAGCATTTTCCCATTTCCATGCTTTACATACTCTCATTATGGCCAATTTTAAGGTATTGGCATGATCTTACAAATGGAATGTTAAGAAGAGATGGACACAGTATCTCAGGCCAGTGTGAACCACTGTGAGAAAGACCATGTGATGTCAAGGACAGGGTAGGAAGAAACACAATTTTCCATTTTTAAAAATTAAAACACTAGTTATTCTCTAAAATGAGAGTCTGAGTGGCTGTTCATTGCCACAACTTATCCATGTAAGTTCACCCCAAATTCTGAGTGACAAGACCTTGAGGCTCTGAAATTTTTCTTTCACCCCTCCGCCTCCACCATAAAAATCATCAACAAAAAAATGGACATATATGGTCATTTGTCCTGAGTTCCATGAGATCTGCAGCAACCAAGGTGACCACACTATGATCAAGATATTAAAAAATTGGTTGGATGCAGTGGTGCATTTCTGTAATCCCAGGACGAATCACTTGAGGCCAGGAGTTCAAGACTAGCCTTGGTAACATAGTGTGACTCCGCTTCTACAAATTGTTTTTTTAAGTTAGCTGGGTATGGTAGTGCATGCCTGTCTTCTGAGTGGAAGCAGGAGGATTGCTTGAACCTGGGAGTTCAAGGCTTCAGTGAGCTCTGATCACCACTGCACTCCAGCCTGGGTGACAGACAGAGACTTCATCTCTTTACCATATATATATGGTAAATATAGATATACCCTTTTCCCAGATTATTTATATATATAAAATATATATAGTACATATAATATATATTTTATATATACATTATATAATAGGATATATATATATATATATATACACACACACACAATCTGGGATATATATATCTCTCCTTTTCCCATGTTTTTTATATATATTGTTTTATATATAATATATATAAAATATATATGTAATATATAATACATATGTTATAAATAAAATGCATATATAATATATAAAAATATAACATATAATATGTAATATATATTTATAATAAATTTATATTATAATATATTATAAATATATAATATATCTATATTATATTCTGACTACTAATTATATATATTTATATTGTATATATATTGTATAAATATATATATAATTAGTAGTCAAAGAGAGACATTGCTGTATCTGCTTATTATGTATATAAACATATATATATATATATATATTCTGGGAAAATGAGAAGGCTCATAACACTGACTCTTGTAAATGTCAAGGAAGAGTCCTTGGCGTTTGGGCTGTGATTGCTGATTAGACGGGAATGGGTTGGTGGGGGAAGTGGGCGAGGAGATGTTTTAACCAGGAAAAAACAAACCAACTAAAACTATGAATGTGTGAAAAGAGACTTCTCACAGAAAGAAAGGAAGAGAACAGTACTGGTCACTCCCCACACAGACAGAATGCCATGGAGTTGCTGTTTCTTGCCCATGAGTTTAATGACAATCTTCCTTCCCCTTCACATGCCAACTAAGCAGCAGCCAGCAGGACATTCCCCGACTGTGCTGCCCAGCCAGGCCTAGAGTCTGCCCCAAACACAATCACAGATATTCCCAGGCTTGAATGCCATCCAGAGACTAGTCATTTGATGCAATTGCATGTGGTCTAACAAACTCCCACCCAAACATGTTGTACTTAGGGAGTCTGAAATCTATATGATCACATCTCCCAGAACTCAGGCCCACTCTGACCACAGGATTCTTCTAAAGACAACACCGACAGAAGTGTGTGCACTTCCACCATATAATTTTTGTCTGGGAAGTGAAATATCTCTGTCGTTACATCATCTTCCTTAGCATAGTGATCCCTTGAAAGAAAAAGCCTATATAAGATCCCTTCTCAAAGCCAACTGTTAAAACAATCACTTTTAAATATTCTCTCCTCTCTTCCATGCTGTACAAGTACAGCTTTCACGCAATTTCTCTTCTGATCCTCAAACGATGCATGGAGGTGTGTATTATTCCTGTGTCTTGGTCCAGCCAGGACTTCCTGCCCCCTTTTTCCCCTATTCCTGCAAAGGTGACATGGCCAGTTCGACCAATTCACGTCTGAGAGATTGGCTTCCTGTGACAACCTTCGCCCCCCCTCCCCTGACCCATAGACCTGACACAAAAGAGACTGCCGGAAACTCCCAACAACAGCCAAGTGGGTAGCCACAGTGTCCTGGAAAGGAATTCTAAGCCCACAACAGAGCGTTTCACATCTAGTTTTTTCTTTCTTTTTTTTTTTTTTTATGGGATTGGGGTTGGGGAGGGCTTGGCAGCCAGCCAAAGACGGGTGGCAGAATGATGAAATCATGCAAGCCCACGGCACCGAATGATGTCTTAGTGGAAATGGGAACAGGCTTTTGTGCTAACCAGAATGTTCCTGCATACAATCTCAGATCCTAATAGTGATGGCCCAGGAACAGCCATGGTAGTCAAAGAGAGACATTGCTTTATCTGTAATACTCTATTTTTTTAAAGCGTGCATATTCATGTATTAGTTATGTAATATAAGTTATCTTGAAAAATGAAAAGAAAATGGCCATTGCTGCCATTTTGACAGCCCTCAGATTCTGGGGTGTTGTGTGTGGGGGAGGAGATTTCTAACTCCCTGCTTAATTATCTCAAAACACCCCATTCATTCAGGCCAGCCAGCATTTGACTGCCTGCTACTTGCAAAGCCGAGTACTGCACTGCCTAACAAGCACAAAGCCCCCAGTCCCTCCAGGAAGGCAGGGGGCGTGGATCAGAAAGAGCTGGCTCTCAAATTGCCCGTGCCTGTGATTGGATGAGAAGAAGTTGAAGAAACAAACAGGCAATTCACCATAACCAGAGGCAAAGGAGGTAGGTTCTGTATCAGTGATGGCATAGGAGTCGGTCCTGAAGAACTGCTGGGATTTTGATGAGGAAGGGAAGGGGTGGTGTGGGTGGGACAGTCTGCAGGAAGAAACATCTTGGAAGAAAATTAGGATGTAGATGAAAAGCAACCTATGGTCACTTCTGATTCCACCCCCCTGCCCTGTCCGCAGGTTCCACTCCTCTAAGATGTCCGATCTATACACCCATCTCCTGCCACTACCCCCATCCCATCTCAGCAGGAGACAATGTGTGAAAAGAAAGCTCTTCGTTTTTCATTCTTGATATTCACAGACTGCCCAGTTACAGACAGGAGTGGGCAGTGAAGGTCAGAAGGATGAAGGAGCTTGCCTAGCCGATGAGGAAGGGAACAAGATAAGATGCAAACCTCTGTCTCTGACTCTTGGTCAAGTGCTCCTCACCCCAACTAGCTGTTAAATGAGGTGCATGGGGTCTAGGTTAGGTACAGAGACAGCTGAGTCAGATCAACTTGGTATAAATCTCAGCTCTGATGTTGAGCTATTTACCTAGCCTATCTCTACCTCCACTGTCTTTTCATTTTTCTTTTCTGAGGCAGAGTCTCACTCTGTCACTGCCTGTTTTCCATAGCAAAACGGAGTTAATAATCCTTACATGAGAGCTGTTGCACAGCTGCTGGAACCTATTCCCTATGAATTCATGGCATAATAGGTGTTAAAAAAAAAAATAAAAGACCACTGGACTGTAAAAAGAAAACAAAGACAATGCCTACATAATGCTTAGTATGATGCCTGGAACATAGAAATGCTGAAGCAGTCATTCCCTCTTCCCGCCTATCACTGTGGTCATTAGTAACACCACACACTGCCCCTCATTTAGTGCCCGAATCTTAGAGCCTGCCTGGAGGCTGGAGCCATGCCGGGACATTTCCCTTAATCTTGTTAACCTCCTCAGAGAGGCAGCACCCACCCCATTGGCGGACCACGGGAATTCTCTGGGTCTGCTTGTCATTGCTCTGGATGTTGTTTGGAGTCTTTCTATTAGCACAGCTGTTTCTGGGGCCTGGGAGAACTCTAATGGCCCTGGGCAGGATACACACCGGAGTGGGTCTGAGCTCACACCACCCTGCATCCCCAGGGCCTCCCTAGACACTGTTTGCACAGTCCTCCTCACCGTCTGGAGGTCCAGGAGCCCTTTTTAGCCCTTTTTTGCTTTTAGCAGAAGCAAAGAGCTTGTTCAGATCAAGAAGAGTGAGGCTTTGACAGTCCCTCTTGGGGCACATCCCATGTTCCAGGGACATGGGCATGCGACTCTTCTCGTCCTCTGGCCTTTAGGGCTGTGGCCACCACCTTTCCATTCTTCTGAGCTGCCACAAGCAAGAGCTGATGGAAATGAAAAGGGTTATTTTCTTCTTTTTCTTTTTTTTTCTTAAGATGGAGTTTCACTTCTTTTTGCCCAGGCTGAGGTGCAATGGTGCAATCTCAGCAGCATTCAAGTTCAACACGGCAAGTTCCCTCTTTCCTGCAGAGGGAGGACCAGAAGGGAGCAGGAGATGGGGGAGAAGGGTGGGAGGTTGATGGTTTGAAAAAGCGATGGAGACCCAGACAGAGCAAAGCCAGCCAGCTACAGTAAGGGAACCAGCTTCTGCCCAGGAGAGGCCTGGCCTCAGTCTCCCACCCTCAGGGAGGTAGACGCGGCCTGTGACAGCAGCACAGCATGGCCGAGGGAGACAACAAGGGCTGGCCAGGCTACAGAGGGGCTTCCTGGGAGGGTCCAGCCACAGGAATCCTGAGCTGAGATTCTGGAGATCTTCTCCCTCCCTGCAGCTGTGGGCTGGGCCACTGAAACACTTTCAGTTTTGTTTCCTTGTCTGCAAGAAACGAAACTCAGCAGAAAGACTGAGCAGAGAACAGAACATGGAAGAAACCTTCTTGCTGTGCAGGAACTGGTAAGAAACACCTTCTCCAGCGGCAGACCCAGGCTGGATAATGAGAGCCATGGATGAGATAGGGCTGTTGCCAAAGGGAGGAGAAAAATGGTTCCTTCACTTAGGAGAACAAGCAGCTGGAGACCATGGACCCCAAGGGTAGGAGGGTTTAACTTTAGTCATCTCTGGGTGAGGGTGAGCAGCATTACCTCCACTTCACTCCGTTTCCCCCAAATTTTAGGCTTTCAGGGACAATTCTGAAGCCAAATAGCCAGGACAGTTGGTTCCAACTGGGCTACTCATACTTGTGAGATCTTGGGTTCTAATCTGGGGTTCTGATTCTATGACCTTCACACCAGTCTGTGAAAGAAAGGGCCCCACAGGCCAGGTGCGGTGGCTTACGCCTGCAATCTCAGCACTTTGTAAGGCCAAGACAGTCAGATCATCAGGTCAGGAGTTTGAGACCAGCCTGACCAACACGGTGAAACCCCATCTCTACTAAAAATACAAAAATTAGCCAGGCATGGTAGCACATGCCTATAATCCCAGCTACTCAGGAGGCTGAGGCAGGTGAATTGCTTGGGAGGTTACAGGTTCCCTCCCAGGGAACTCCTGGGATGCAGAGGTTACAGTGAGCAGAGATCGCGCCACTACACTCCAGCCTGGCAACAAAATCAGACTCTGTAAAAAAAAAAAAAGAAAGAAAGAAAGGAAAGAGAAAGAAAGAAAGAAAGAAAGAAAGAAGAAGAAAGAAAGAAAGGAAGGAAGGAAGGAAGGAAGGAAGGAAGGAAGGAAGGAAGGAAGGAAGGAAGGAAGGAAGGAAGGAAAGAAAGGGCCCCACAGAGATCCCCCAGGACTATTCTCACCCTCCTTGGAAAGGGAGCTATGGGGCAGGGCAGGGAGGACAGAGCAGGGGGCTGGAGGACCACACCTCTAACTGTGGGCAGAATCTGCCCCATCAAAAATCCCCATTCTTAAAGTTCCCTACCTGTGACAGGGACCAGAGTGGACCCTCCCCAGGGAGCTTTGCTCCAACCAGACCCTTCAAGTTCTCTGGTTTCTCAGCCAGCCCAGGAGGAGCAGGGGGTCAAGGGACCAGGCCGGGAAGAAAAGAACAGAGGAAAGGAAGAAGGCACTACCTGTGTGCCCACTGCCTGGGCAAAGTGGAAGCAAAGAGCTTGTTCAGATCAAGAAGAGTGAGGCTTTGACAGTCCCTCTCGGGGCACATCCCATGTGCCAGGGACATAGACATGCGACTCTTCTCGCCCTCTGGCCTTTAGGGCTGTGGCCACCACATTTCCATTCTCCCGAGCTGCCACAAGCAAGAGCTGATGGAAATGAAAGGTGTTTTTTTTTTTTTTCTTTCTTTCTTTCTTTCCTTCCTTTTTTTTTACTTTTTTTTTTACTTGAGATGGAGTTTCACTTCTTTTTGCCCAGGCTGGAGTGCAATGACTCAATCTCAGCTCACTGCAACCTCCACCTCCTGGGTTCAAGTGATTCTCCTGCCTCAGCCTCCCGAGTAGCTGGGATTACAGGTGTGTGCCACTATACCCGGCTAATTTTTTATTTTGTTTAGTAGAGATGAGGTTTCATCATGTTGGCTAGGCTGGTCTCGAACTCCTGATCTCAGGTGATCCACCTGCCTCAGCCTCCCAAAGTACTGGGATTACAGGCATGAGCCACCGCACCTGGCCAAAAGGGGGCCTTTCTCAGTGAAGAGGACGGTTAGAGAAAAACACCCTGCCCAGGAAGTGGGAGACTCAGAACCCTTCCTTCACTGTGGACTCCAGGAAGAACCTCGGAGCCTCTGCGGGTTAGCGCAGGTGAACCTGGAGGCAGGAAAGACTTGGGAAGCTCTCGCTTTGGAGATTCTAGCAGTTGGCATGGTCCTGGCAGGAAGCATGAGCCTCGCAGGACTGCATTCCTAACACAGTGGATCAAACAGGGGCAGCAGAAAACAAGAAAAAAGCTTCAAGAGAATTTGGCACTTCTCTCAAAGCATTTAAATTGAAATAATTTAATTATTTAAATTATTTACAATGAAATGTTATTTCATTTTAAAAACAGCCTTATAGAGGTATAATTGACCTACAGTAAACCGCACATTCAATAGCAATTGATAAGGTTGGGCCTATGTTATATACATCCGTGAAACACCATCCCCGTAATTGAGATAACAGAGCTCCCCATCACCCCCAAATCTCCCCTGTGCCCCTTTTGTAATTCCTCGCTCCTGGTCCTCCCCAGGCCCCGCCCCAGCAATGTAAGAGCTCTGTGGAACATCCTTACACTTATTCAATGATGATGTTCTGTTCTAATTTTGACCCAACACAGGGAGTGGGGGCAGGTGGTGTCATCATCATTACATGTTCAGTGCTTAAGTCCTCTGGAGATCTAGTCCCGGGTGGGAAATACAGCTCCATGTTTCATAATAGGAAAATAAGTCTATTTTCCTATCTCCCCTCCTTGACCCTGTAGCAAAAGAAATGTATCCTCTGCCCACTTTGCCCTCCACGAGGTGCACTGCCTGAGGTTCCTGGTCCTGTGCCCAGAGTGTGAGGAGCCTGTCCCCAGGGAAAAGATGGAGGAACACTGCAAGGATGAGCACCAGCAGGTGAGCAGGTGGCAGGGAGGATGGAGTCCGGGAGTCGAGGTGAGGATGCCTGCAGGAGAGATGGGGCTGGGAGTTGGGGCAAGGGTCCAGTCGTCCCTGTGGGAGAGATGGGGTCTGGGAGTCAGGGAGTGGGACCAGTCTTGCCTACAGGAGAGATGGGGTCTGGGAGTCGGGGTGAGGGTCCAGTCCTCCCTGCAGGAGAGATGGGGTCCAGGAGTTAGGGTTAGGGTCCAGTTCCAGTCCTCCCTGCAGGAGAGATGGGGTCTGGGAGTCAGGGAGTGGGTCCAGTCTTGCCTACAGGAGAGATGGGGTCTGGGAGTTGGGGTGAGGGTCCGGTCCTCCCTGAAGGAGAGATAGGGTCTGGGAGTCAGGGTGAGGGTCCAGCCCTCCCTGAGGGAGAGATGGGGTCCTGGAGTTGGGGCAAGGGCTGGGGACTTAAGGCAGGAGTCCAGTCCCCCAGGCAGAGACTCACTTGAGGGCCATGGGAAATCATTTAGTTCCTTCACAGGAAGCCGCATGGGCAGGAAATGTTAATCCTGCCTTTTTCATGCTAATCTGAGCCTACCACCAATTTTCCCATCTCCAGTCCTTTCCCTACAGGCTTATGGGTCTAGCATAGGCAAAAGGATCTGGTTTCAGGAAAGATTGGCTCTTCTCTTGAGACCCGTAAAGAGGGGACATGAAAAGGAAAGCCCCAGAAGGCAGTCAGGTTGAGCTTTGTTTCCTGCCTTTCATGTCCATGCCTCCTGGGCCCCTGATCTGTCTCTCTGGAGATACTCAAGCTCAGGCATCCATTTCAACTCAGACTGGTCTGACAAACACTTCTTGAACACTGGGCTGGCGCTAGAGAGAGACTGAGGTAACCACACTGGATCCCTGCCCTCTAGGAGTTCACAGACTCCAACCTGGAACACTGTGAGCCAACATGGATGTGGGACAGGCCCAGGGTGCTGGGTGGAACCCACATCTGGGGTGTGTGTGTGTGTGTGTGTGTGTGTGTGTGTGTGGTGTGTGTTTAGGTTGGGTGTACGATGTGTCAGAAGAGCATACAGAAGTCCTCACTGGCGTTTCATGAGGTAAGACTTCATGTGATTTCTCCTTTACAGCCAAATAGGCCAACCTGAGAAAAGGAGAGGAAGGGGAAAGGGGAGGCCGATAATAGAGAATTCCACCTGACCACTTTTTACACCCCATCAGGCTTAGAGAGCAGTGGAGATCTAGCCCACTACATGACACATGATCTCCTGTCCCCCAGATACTGGCCAGAAGGGCTTTCCATGGTCCATGAGTTCAAGAGAGCTCAGATCCCCCGAGGGCAGTCCCTCACTCTGGCCCTTCTCATCTGCTATCTCTTATTGGCTGTAATTCCCTAGGGAATTGGGCACAAGTCCTTGATCTGTCTGCAGTCAAAGAGGCCAGTGATCATGCCCTTCCTGCTGCCTCCCACAGGCCAAGGAGTGCCAGGAACACTCCGCTGAGTGTAAGTTCTGTGAGCTGGACATGCAGCTCAGCAGGCTGGAGCTCCACGAGTCCCACTGTGGCAGGCGGACGGAGCTTTGCCCAGGCTGTGGCCAGTTCATCACGCGCCGGGTACTCACCGAGCACACACGTTTCTGTTGGAGTCAACAGGCCCAGCTCGGGAAAGGTGAGCACACAAACTGGGGCAGAAGAGAGACATTCTGAGGGCCAGAGCATTTTCTGGATGGGATGTGAGGAATGGAAGCTCTCAGCAGCATGGATGACAAGTGTATTTGCTGTGTAGGTCTCAATTCATCCAGCTATTCTCATTCTAAACCATGCATTAGAGTGGCCTTCCTGTCTGTCTGCCATAGTCTTCAAATGACTGGTCCAGGGAGACCAGGGGGCTGGGGCTAGAGCCTGCCAGCTGCAAAGTTGAGTAAGGAGGCCATGGGGAGTCCCAGGAAACAGGAGGCTTTCTTTGAATGCCTCCAGCACAGTCCTAGCCTGGCAGAGATCCATTGATTTCTCATCCTTTTACAGATGAGAAATCTACACACAGAATAAAGCAGGGGCTTGCTAGAGGCAGAAATAAGACTGGACTTTCACATTTTCCACCAAATCTAGGGCTTTTTCCATTATCAGTAATGGCCAGAAGGGACCTAGCTATAACTCCTGGCCTTGGAGCCTATGTATTGGCTCCCTGGTACCATTTTATGTTCCCTTGACTCACATACCTCTTTACAAGGGTATATTTACTGTCACTGTCACACAGTCATTAATGTGACAGATCCTTTGCTGTCTTTGCTGGTTGTTTTGGTAACATGGTAACATAAGAGACAGCCTAAAACTCCCCAGACAGTTCTCTCCTGATAAACAATCTACCCAAGGTCAAAACTGGCCAATGAAAAACTGAAAAGTGTGAGATTCATGTACATTTCCTTCATCCAGCATGGCTGGATTTCAACAGAACCAAACACAGTCTTCAACACAACAATCAACAAAGATGCATTCAACCAACACCTGGTCCAATCACAGAGCCTGGAAACTGGTGGCATGAAGAGCAGTTAGATTGGAGAGGATTGGCATCCCTGGCTAGAGTTCCATTCATCCCCATAGAAAGCAGTCCCGCTCCGGAAGATGTCTCTCCATCAGGGTCACTACTGCCCTAAGTGCACATCTGTGGCCATAAAGGAAATGATGTGAGTGACTCTGCCAAGAGTTGCCTGTGTAGTCAAGGATGCCAGCAGTGCAGGAAAGTCAAAGCCAGACAGGCCTGGGGGCAGTTCATGCTCATGAGTACGGGCCATATAGACAGCTGTGGGCGAGCTGGGCTAGCCATCGTCAAGGGCAATCATTTGTGGTGTTGTTTCTGTGCTTATTCAGGGGAAAGAATTTCAGCACCTGAAAGGGAAATCCACTGTCATTATTGCAACCAAATGATTCCAGAAAATAAGTATTTCCACCATTTGGTGAGTAGCAGTTAGTAATTTTCTAATGGTGCCAATAGTTAGTCCACATTCTGAAAAGTAGGATAGGAAAGGCAGATTCTGGGCCCAATTTTGCGTAGCATGAATATTAAATGATCATATATATATATATATATATTTTTTTTTTTTTTTTGCTTTGTTCAAAAAGATATTTTAGTGACTAGCTTAGGCTAATCGAGCACACACAATTGGTCTTCCTTTGTGCCCAGCCCTTCAGGGGGCCTCCCTCACCACTCCTAATACCCGCGATCACCTCTGACCATCTCCAACCTTCATGACCTGGACATTGCAATTTGGTCCTCAGTAGGGCCTGTCTTACTGTTTTCTGTCCCATGTGGGAGTCTTCTCTATTAAACTGTGAGCTTCCTGCAAAACTGAATGACTTTTCCCATTTTCCTGGTATCAGGGCTTGGTGCAAAAAGGGTACTCTGTAGAGATGCAGTCATTGGTTGACTGACGGGCTGGTTCTGTCTGGGAACACTCAGACTCTTCCCTCCATAGCCCTAAGCGCCTTTTCATGCATTGCTGTGCCAAGTTGCTCCCTTCTTTCGGACAGAATGGAGCATTTTTCCTTTGGGAAACTTACCAAGGCTTCTCTCCAAGGAACTCATCTCCTTGGACAGAAAGTTGTTTACTTTCTTAACACTTCAGTTCCTAGAACTACAGAATATCAAAACTAAAGCAGCCATAGAAAGGATTCAGCTCTTTGCTTTTTTGTTTTGTTTTGTTTTTACTAGTGTGGGAAACCACATATAATGTAAAACTTGCCACTACTTTTGAGACAGTTGGTACATTCAGAATGTTGTGAATCTAGTTCTAGAATATTTTCATCATCCCAAAAAGAAATGCTGTGCCCATTTGCAGATACTATCCATTCCTCCATCTTCCCAGTTCCTGGCAACCATTAATCTACTTTCCATCTCTATGGATTTGTCTATTCTGGATACTTCACATCGATGGAGTCATATAACATGTGGTCTTATGTAACCATCTTCTTTCACTTAGCATAACGTTTTCAAGGTTCACCCATGTTGTGGTTGTAACACATATCATATCAACACTTTATTCCTTTTAATGGACTTTTTTTTTTTGAGACAGGGTCTCACTCTGTCACCTAGGCTAGAGTGTAGTGGCACAATCTTGGCTGACTGCAGCCTCTGCCTCCTGGGTTCAAGCTATTCTCCTGTCTCAGCCTCCTGAGTAGCTGGGACTATGGGTGCCTGTCACTGCGCCTGTCTAAATTTTGTATTTTTTTTAAGTAGAGATGGGGTTTTAGTACGTTGGCCAGGCTGGTCTCAAACTCCTGACCTCAGGTGATCCACCCACGTCGGCCTCCCAGAGTTAATAGCCTTTTTATGGTCATCCTACATTTTGTTTCTCTACTTGTTGATAAACATTTGAATTGTTTCCACCTTTCAGTGTGCTTTTTGAAGTGGAGTCTGTGGACCAGCAGCATCAGCATCACCTGGAATCCTGTTAGAAATGCAGAATCTCAGGCCCTCCCCTTAGAAATGCTAAATCAGAATATGCAGGGTCACATGATTTCACAGGCATTTCAAGTCTGAGAAGCACTGTCCCAGCCACATGATTCTCAGCCTCAGCTGTACATGGAAATCACCTATTGATTTGTTTTCCTCAGTACTGATATCTGCTAGATTCTATAAGTGGTCCATGTCTTCTATTTGAATGAGAAGACACTTGGTGAGCACAAAAACAAGAGTGAAGCTGACCACTTCCCTTCAAATGTTCAGCCTGGCAACCAAGGCACCTACATACTTATTTGAAGGCTTCAGGGAGGTGGGGAGCTCTAATACACATGGAACTGTGCTTAGAAACTCTGAATTTTAGTTCTGCTCTGCCCCTTACTGGCTGTGTAACCTCTCTGAGCTTCTTTTTTCTTTTGAGGAAAATGGGGATAATGGTTTGTTCAGGAAAATAAGACATTCACGATCAGCCAACACCAGATCTACCTCCTTGGCAGCATCCACACTCACTTACTTTGCCTTCCCACCTCTCAACCATAGAGGATCTTTCTATGTTCCTATCTAAAGCCTATCCCCTCCCACTGGTTGGTATACTATATCCTCTTTTATCGCCTACACAAGGTCACACAAGGTTATTGCTACACTGCTCCAGCAATTCTCCCCTCTCTGTCCGGCAACAGGGAGCGGTTAAACGAGCTGTACACATAAGCAACAACAAAGTCTCAAAACTCTAGGAGGTCCTAACATTTGTTATGATAAGTTTTTAAAGGGCTGCCACTCTTGAATATTTAGATGTCAATGGTGAATCTTTGGCCTTGCATGAAAAGAATCTTTTTGAATTTGAAAATTAAGGACGGAAATCATGTATATTAGGTGGTTTTGTGGTCTTCAGTCTTTAACTTTTTATTAACATGACCCAAAACCAGAAAAACATAAAGTACTTCTGACACCATTTCCTACAAGCTACCATCTTGTTTCTTTGTTCCCCTCTGTAGAAAAACATTTGAACCAGTTGTCTCTAGTCACGGCCTCCATCTTTTCTTCTCCCATTCTTATTCCCACTCCAATCTGGCTCTTATGCCCACCCCGCCCAATGTTACCAAATCTGCTCTTGTCAAAATCAATTACATCTGCATTCCTAGGTCCAGTGCTTAGTTCTCAGTTCTCAATTGATGGGGAGCAGTTACTGCTCATCACTCTCTTCCTCAGTGCACTTTCTTAGCCTCCAGGGTACCACACTCATTCTTTACCTCTCCAACCTCTTAATTTTGGGGGGAAGTAGGGCTCAGTCTCTGGTCTCTTCTTTACCTATATTCACTGTCTTGATATTTCATCCAACCTCCTGATTTTTATTTTTATTTATTTATTTTTCCTCCTGACTTTTAAAAATGTCATATGTAGTCAGACACTTCCAAATTTATATCTTAGTCTGGGCTTTTCTCCCCAAACTCTAGATTTGCATGTTACTATTTACTGCATCTTCACTTGAATGCTTGATAGATATCTTAAATATAATACATCTGAAATGGAATCCTCTGTCCCACAGCTTGGCCCATCTCAGTTGATGGCAACTCTATCCTTCCAGTCGTTTAGGCCAAAATCTCAGGTTCACTCTCAACTTCTCTTTCCCTCCGTGTTGCTACCCTAGTGTGAACCATCATCTTCTCAAGCCCAGATGCTGCAGGAGTCTCCTAGGTGGTCTCCCTACTTCTCACTTTTCCCCTACAGTCTATTCTCATCACAGTGGTCAACGTGATCCCTTAAAAATACAAGTCTTGTTTGGCTCCTCTGTTTAGATCTCTATACTCATTCTTTCCCCATTTTATGCAAACTCAAAACTACAATAGCCTTAGAGATCTATGTCACCTTTGCCTCCCTTCCTACCTCATCACATCTTTGATCTCATGTACTACTCCTGTTCAGCTCACTGGCCTCCTGGTTGTTTCTTGAGCATACTATGCCCTAGCCTTTTCTCTAGCTACTGCCTCTGCCTAGGAGCTACCTCCTTACCTTCCCCACCTTATTCCCAGAGCTAACTTTCTCACTTCTCCCAAGTCTTTGCCCAGATGGCACCTTCTTAAGGTGATATACCATAACAATCTGTTTAAAATTGCAACTCCCTCTCCATCACATATTCACCACCCCCTGGCCTTCTTCTATTATTTTTTCATAGCCTTTATAAACTTCTAACATATTATCTAATTTACTTATTCATTATGGCCCTTGTGGTTTCCCACCAACCCAGAAAAATTACAAGCCCCACGGCTCCCCTTTATGCTAACTACTCCCTAGACACAAATACTCTACTTTCACTTTTGCTGTTTCTTCTGGTAATCACCTTCATATGTCTAAACACCTTCTTATATTCTTTTTCAATTTTAGATATTACCTATTGACTCATAAGGATTTAGGAATATGGATTTCACTTTTTTATGCCACCCATCCCACACACATACCTCCAAAGTTCTTTATTTCATCCTTCCAATTTATTAATTTCACTCATTCTGGTTAAATATTCAATATTACATCAGTATAACCATGTAAACATTATGCATGGTTTTCCACACGAACTGTGATTATGTGTGCTTTCTCCTACAACTTGTTGTTTTCCTTGGACTTAATAATTGCTTTGGCTTTTCGTTTGCTTCACTTTCTAGGTACCTATCTCTAAATCATCCCTCAAACTCTCTACCAGATCTGAAAATTCCCCTGAGTACAACTAAACACATAAGCTAGTCTATCCATTTCATTTGGGAGCGTGCTGTTCCCCAGGTTTGATGATTAGCTGTTGGTCTGGAATTTCCTCCATTCTCTGCAGTGTCGGAGGCCTGTTCCTCAAGTCTCGGGTCCCGTCTTTCTCTTTTTTAGGTTCCCCCTTGTTGGATAGAACATAGCCTCAAATAGTTTCCCGAGAAAGAACGTAGGAGGGGCAAATTTTTTAGGCCTTATATGTCTGAAAATGATAGCTGGAGTGGCTGTAGAATCTACCATCTTAATTTTTTTTTTTAAGTTTTATTACCACTCTGATCTTTTCAAAAAGACCTGGATTCATGGTCACTACACACTGTATACATATGTTAGAATATCACTGTTCTACAAGTATGTATCATTCTTACTTGTTCACTAAAAGTTAAATTGATTATAAAAAAGTTTCAAACAAATATGAAACTAGAAAGTCAGTACAATAAATCCTCATGTATTCACTCCTCAGATACAAGAGTTGTTGTTCGGAGCAGGGTGAATAAAAATAAATCCACCCTTAGATACATTACCGGTAAAAGGCAAAGGTCGATTTCTCTGAACTCAACCGAAGAAGATTACAAGCAAAGGAATGGCAATTTGGCTGAAAGCAAATATATCAACAACAATAATAGAAGTGGGTATGCAGTGGAATAATCTTCAAAGTGCTAAGAGAAAATAGCTGCTAATGTGTAGAAATCAAAAGTTTTCCATACTTGAACTATTCTTTTTGTTTTCTTTTTTCTTTCTTTCTTTTTTTTTTTTTTTTTTTTTTGGGATGGAGTTTCGCTCTTGTTACCCAGGCTGGAGTGCAATGGCCCGATTTCGGCTCACTGCAACCTCCGCCCCCTGGGTGCAGGCAATTCTCCTGTCTCAGCCTCCTGAGTAGCTGGGATTACAGGCATGCACCACCGTGCCCAGCTAATTTTTTGTAATTTTTTTTAGTAGAGACGGGGTTTCACCATGTTGACCAGGATGGTCTCGATCTGTTGACCTCGTGATCCACCCGCCTCGGCCTCCCAAAGTGCTGGGATTACAGGCTTGAGCCACCGCGCCCGGCCTTGTTTTCTTTTTTCTAAAGTATGATAAAGCAAATGAATGACATCCTGGTATTTCACCATCATGCTTAAATAGCTCAAAAATAGTCATTTACTTAATCACAAGGCCTTTATCACTCCAATGATATTAACAATAATTTCCCCCCATCATTTTGGGGCCCTGCATCTATCATTCTTGTTCATTACTACTGCTGGTGCTGGTGTTGCTTTCTCCTCCCTCGTCTTCTATTGGATTGAGCAAAATGTCTTTATTCTCTTTCTTCTTTTCTACTGATTCAGCAATTTTACACTCTATTTCTATCATTTCAATAGTTCCCCTTTTTTATTGCATCTATTTGATTCTTCTCTCTTTTCTTTTTTATTAATCTGGCTAGTGGCCTATTTTATTGATCTTTTCAAAAAAACAGCTCCTGGATTCATGGATTTTTTGAAGGGCTTTTTGTGTCTCTATCTCCTTCAGTTCTGCTCTGATCTTAGTTATTTCTTGTCCTCTGATAGCTTTTGAGTTTTTCTGAGCTTGCTCCTCTAGTGCTTTCAATTTTGATGATAGGGTGTCGATTTTAGATCTTTCCTCACTTCTCATGTGGGCATTTATTGCTGTAAATTTCCCTCTAGACTCTGCTTTAAATGTGTCCCAGAGATTCTGGTACATTATGTTTTCATTCTCATTGGTTTCAAAGAACATCTTTATTTCTGCCTTGATTTCATTGATTATCCAGTTGACACTCAAGGCCAGTTGTTCAGTTTCCATGAAGTTATGCAGTTCTGAACTAGTTTCTTAATCGTGAGTTCTAATTGATTTGCATTGTGGTCTTAGAGGTTGTTATGATTTCTGTTCTTTTGCATTTGCTGAGGAGTGATTTACTTCCAACTATGTGGTCAATTTTAGAGTAGGTGCAATGTGGTGCTGGGAAGAATGTATATTCTGTGGATTTGGGGTGGAGAGTTCTGTAGATGTCTGTTAGGTCCATTTGGTCCAGATCTGATTCAAGTCCTGGATATCCTTGTTAATTTTCTGTCTTGTTGATCTGTCTGATATTGACAGTGGAGTGTTAAAGTCTCCCACTATTATTGTGTGGCAGTCTAAGTCTCTTTGTAGGTCATTGAGAACTTGCTTTATGTATCTGGATGCTCCTGTATTGGGTGTGTATATATTTAGGATCGTTAGCTCTTCTTGTTGCATTGATTCTTTTACCTTTATGTAATGTCCTTCTTTGTCTCTTTTGATCTTTGTTGGTTTAAAGTCTATTTTATCAGAGACTAGGATTGCAACTCCTGCTTTTTTTTTTTCTCTCCATTTGCTTAGTAAGTCTTCCTCCATCCCTTTATTTTGAGCCTATGTGTGTCCTTGCACATGAATACAGCAAGACCGATGGGTCTTGACATTTTATCCAATTTGCCAATCTGTGTCTTTTGATTGGGGCATTTAGCCCATTCACATTTAAGGTTAATATTGTTATGTGTGAATTTGATCCTGCCATTTTGTTGCTAGCTGAATGTTTTACCCATTAGTTGACACAATTTTTTTCATTGTGTCGATGCTCTTTACCATTTGGTACATTTTTGGAGTGGCTGGTACTAGTTGTTCCTTTCCATGTTTAGTGCTTCTTTCAGGAGCTCTTGTAAGTCAGGCCTGATGGTGATGAAATCTCTCAGCAATTGCTTGTTCATAAAGGATTTTATATTTCCTTTGCTTATGAAGCTTAATTTGGCAGGATATTAAATTATAGGTTGAAAGTTCTTTTCTTTACAGAGGTTAAATATTGACCCCCACTCTCTTCTGGCTTGTAGTGTTTTGCTGAGCGATCCACTGTGAGTCTGATGGGCTTCCCTTTGTGGGTAACCCGGCCATTCTCTCTGGCTGCCCTTAGCATTTTTTTCTTTCATTTCAACCCTGGTGAATCTGATGATTATGTTCCTTGGGGTTGCTCTTCTTGAGGAATATCTTTGTGGTGTTCTCTGTATTTCCTGGACTTGAATGTTGCCTGCCTTGCTAGTTTGGGGAAGTTCTCCTGGATAATATCCTGAAGAGTGTTTTCCAGCTTGGATTCATTCTCTCTGTCACATTCAGGTACACCTATCAAACGTAGATTAGGTCTTTTCAAATAATCCCCTATTTCTTGGAGGCTTTGTTCATTTCTTTTCACTCTGTTTTCTCTGTTCTTGCCTTGTCATTTTATTTCATTGAGTTGATCTTCAATCTCTGATATCCTTTCTTCTGCTTGGTCAATTGGGCTATTGAAACTTGTGTATGCATCACAAAGTTCTCGTGTTGTGTTTTTCAGCTCCATTAAGTCGTTTATATTCTTCTCTAAGCTGTTTATTCTCGTTAGCATCTCATCTAACCTTTTTTCAAGGTTCTTAGTTTCTTTGCACTGGGTTAAAACATGTTCTTTTAGCTCAGAGAAATTTGTTATTATCCACCTTCTGAAGCCTGTTTCTGTCAATTCATCAGACTCATTCTCCATCCAGCTTTGTTCCCTAGCTGGTGAGAAGTTGTGATCCCTTGGAGGAGGAGAGGTCTTCTGGCTTTTGGCGTCTTCATCCTTTTTGTTCTGATTTCTTCCCCTCTTAGTGGCTTTATCTACCTGTGGTCTTTGTAGTTGGTGACTTTTGGATGGGGTCTCTGAGTGGACATCCTTTTTGTTAATGTTGAAGCTATTTCTTTCTGTGTTTTAGTTTTCTTTCTAACAGTCAGGCCCCTCTGCTGTAGGACTGCTGGAGGTCCACTACAAACCCTGCTTGCCTGGGGATCACCTGCAGGGGCTGCAGAACAGTAAGGGTTGCTGCCAGTTTCTTCTTCTGTTATTTTCATCCTAGAAGGGTACCTGCCAGATGTCAGCCTGAGCTCTCCTTTATGAGGTGTTTCTGGATATACGGGGATCAGGGAGCTGCTTGAGGAGACAATTTGTCCCATATAGGAGCTCCAGTGCTGTGCTGGCAGCTCCATTGTTCTGTTCAGAGCTGCTGGGCAGGTATGTTTAAGTCTGCTGCAGCAGAACTCATAACCACCTTTTTTCCCCAAGTGCTCTGTCCTGGGAAGGTGGGCTTTATTTATAAGTTTCTGACATGCTGGTACCTTTTTTCAGAGATGCCCTGCCCAGCAAGGAGGTAGTCTAGTCACAGTCTGCCAGTGGCGGCATTACTGAGCTGCCATGGGCTCTGCCCAGCTGCTGTGTAAAATTCCTTGCAGTTTTGTTTACAGAGGTACAGTTAGAACTGCCTCAGTAATGATGGTCTGCCTCAGTAATGGCAGACTGCCTCGCTAGTGGTGGTCTGCCTCAGTAATAGCGGATACCCTTCCCCCCACAGAGCTGGACAATCCCTGGTCCAGCTGTGTTTGCTGCGAAACTCTCAACCCAGAGCATTTCAGATTGCTGGTCTTTGTAGGGGTGGGACCTGCCAAGCCATATCACCTGACTCCCTGTTCTAGCCCCTCTTTTTCAGTTGACAGGGCAGCTCTGACTCCCAGGTGTTCCAGGTGCCAGTTGAAATGGATGCCCAGATTTATGTGAGTTTTTGTGTGGAAACCCACAGCACCCAGCTGAAATGGCTGTGCTGGAAACTCATGGCACTTTTTGGCTCAAGAATTCCTGGTCTGTGGGCAGTAAAAACTCATCTGGAAATGTGGTGATCACTCACCCTCTGCATTGTTCTTGCTGGGAACTGCACTCCAGAGCTGTTCCTATTCAGCCATCTTGGATCTCCCAGAAATTTATTTCTAATAGCTCTGAAAGCTGGAAGTTCAAGATCAAGCACCAGCGCTTGGTGTCTGGTGAGGACCTTCCTGCTGCCTCCTAGCATGGTAGAAGGCAAAAGAGTAGAAGGATGTAGCCAAATGCTTTATGAAGCCTCTTTTATAAGGACCCTAATCCTATTAACAAGGGAGGCACTCTCATGACCTAATCACCTCCCAGAGGCCCCACCTCTTAATTCCATCACATTGGCAACACCTGAATTTTGGAGGCGTCACATTCAAACCATGGCAACCAGTCAGATCTTCATTCCTGGAATGCAAAATTTTCTTTCTTTCCTGCAAAGCCAGGTGTTAAATTGAATGTTTGTCACATTTTATACAGCATATAAAAATGTTTACAGTGGACATTTTTGTGTTATCTAGTCTACCATATTTTCTGACCATTAAAGCTGAAGTCATTTTAAAATCTGACATATTATTGACAATTGCAGGGTAAATGTTGCCCAGACTCAGAGTTTAAGAAACACTTTCCTGCTGGAAAGCCAAAAATTCTTCCTTCATCTCTTCCAAGTCAAGCTGCTGAAAACCAAACTTCGGCAATGGAGAAAGATGTCCGTCCAAAGACAAAAACTATAAAGAGATTTATTCTTCATTCTGAAAGTTCATCAAAGAAAACACCAAGAGGCAAAAGCAAAACCTTGGATCCACTTTGGATGTCAGAGCCCAAGCCCAGGACCACCTCCCCTATAGAAGATGAAGCAGCCTATGACATTCTGAAGAGATGTTCTCAGTGTGGCATCCTGCTTCCCCTGCCCATCCTAAATCAACATCAGGTACTCAGCCTCTGTTCTTTGTTTACCTGGTTGTGAACCATATGTACAATGTCTTTAAAAAATCTAAGACCTGAAAGATATTCACAAATGTTGTGGCCCTTCTCTGTCTCCCACTTCTCTGGGTGTCCAAATGCACTCTCTTGTAGCACTCACCACCTGGTTTATTTGCATCACCTCTGAGACTGAGTCACCTTTGAAGGTCGAGCCACAGTTTCTCATCTCTGTGTCTCCAGCTCCTAGGCCAGGGACTGACATACAGCAAGTGCTCCAAAACTGTTGAGTAAATGAAAGAAGCAGAGGATACCCAGTCTGTCTCTCCCATGGTGTAGATATGGCACTGAGGCCCAGAGATGAGATATCTTGGTCAAGCCAGTTGGTGGCTTATCTCCAGCAGATCAAAGTTTGCTTCAAGCAGTTCAGGGTTTACAGGCATCTCCCTGAATATCCTGATTTTTACATCCTAGGTTATTTTCTAGTAATAATAGCAATTGGCATTAGAGGTTGTTAACCATTGTGTGCCAGTTAAAATGTGGAGCTCTTTATAATCTTCATCATAAACAATAGGTATGTATTTTATCCCCATTTTTCAGATAAGGTAAAGTAGCTTCCCCATTCTCTATAGAATTAGAGTGGCAGAGTCCAGCCTGAGTCCACATATATACAGCTCCAAAGTTTATGCTCTTCCACTCCAGACTGGATGCCTGTAGTTTATTTATTTTTCAAAATACAAAAGTACTAGATTTTGTTGGAGCTAGTTGACATAATACCATATAAAGAAGTATAAAAGCAAAGCTAGCCCTACTTCCCCAACCCCATACACTGAGATACCAATTTTGACAGTCTTATGTGCATCTTTTCAAAGTTCTACCTTTGCTTTTACAAATCTAGACAAGCATATACTGGGCTTTAATTGTTTCTTTTTCCGCACACATTATCTTACTGTACTTACTACTCTGCCACTTGCCTTTTTCACTTGGTGTATGATGCACGCTCCTTACAAAAAAGACTTAGCAGACCCAAACCTTTTTTTCTAACTTCCTTATGCATCCATGTATGCGCATAAGCATATCATTTTATAAAAACTGGCTAACTTCATATTCGCTGGGGGTGTTACTAGTGCCATTTTTCCTTGCCTCCCACAATTTGGTATATTTCCTTTCACAATTTTCTCCATCCTTATATAACAAAGTTGCCAGATTTAGCAAATAAAAATACAGGACATTCGGTCAAATTTGAATTTCAGAGAAACAAATTGTTTTTAGTATAAGTATGTTCCATGCAGTGATTGTTTTGCTGAAATTAAAATTTAACTGGGGCACCCTGTATTTCATTTAGCAATTTCTTACATAACCACATACAAACATACACATTTACAGTCCTGTTATATACATTTCTCCACATTTTTTTTTTTTTTGGGGGGGATGGAGTCTTGCTCTGTCACCCAGGCTGGAGGGCAGTGACAGGATCTTAGCTCACTGCAATCTCTGGCTCCCAGGTTCAAGGGATTCTCCTGTCTCAGCCTCTTGAGTAGCTGAGATTACAGGCACCCGCCACCACGCCTATCTAATTTTTGTATTTTAGTAGATACTGGGTTTCACCATGTCATCCGGGATGGTCTCGAACTCCTGACCTCAGATGATCTGCCTGATTTGGCCTCCCAAAATGCTGGGATTACATGCATGAGCCACCGTGCCCAGCCAACATTTCTTTATATCCTAATGTTAGGATTCAGCAATACCCAAGGAAATCCTTACAAGCCAAACAATGTGGCTTGTTCTTATTAATGGCTGCATAAAATTCCATGGTGTAAGTGTTCTCCCATCTGCCCCTCCACCCCATGATAGCAACAGACCCCTTTTAAACTTTGTCCCAAGCCTCTTATACCCCTGGCTCAGTGAGCTCCTGACCTTTTCTATGCCATTACACCCCAGACTTTGGGCAGGGCTCATGCTCTGTAACAAGGAACAGCAATATCCAGAGACGTTCTAGGAACTAGCACTTCCTACTTTAACCATATCACACGTTTTTATATCCATTTCTTAGGAGAAATGCTGCTGGTTAGCATCATCGAAAGGAAAATAAGTGAGAAATTTGAGCTAGATTTGGCCAAGAAAAAGTACTACAAATTCAGAAGATTTCACTTTTAACACTGGCTTTCCTGCCTACTTGCTGAAAAATGATGGTTTTTATTCATTGGGCTTTAAAAGAAAAGGTTTGGCAGAACTAAAAACAAACCTATATATATCATCTCAATAGATACAGAAAAGGTTTTTGATAAAATTCAACATGACTTCATGTTTAAAACCCTCAAGAAACCAGGCATTGAAGGAACATACCCCAAAATAATAAGAGCCATCTATGACAAACCACAGCCAACATCATACTGAATGAAAAAGCTGGAAGCATTCCCCTTGAGAACCAGAACAAGGCAAAAATGTCCACTCTCAACACAGTCCTATTCAACGTAGTACTGGAAGTCCTTGCCAGAGTAATCAGGCAAGAAAAAGAAATAAAAGGCAACCAAATAGGAAGAGAGGAAACCAAAGTATTTCTGTTTGCAGACAATATGATTCTATACCTAGAAAACCCCATGGTCTTGGCCCAAAAGCTCCTGTATCTCATAAACAGCTTTAGTTAACTTTCAGGAGACAAAATCGATGTACAAAAATCGGTAGCATTTTTATACACCAACAACATCCAAGCTGAGAGCGAATCAAGAATGCAATCTTGTTCACAATCATCACAAAAAGAATAAAATGCCTAGGAATACAACTAACGAGGCAGATGAAAGATCTCTACAACAGGAATTACAAAACACTGCTGAAAGAAATCGGAGATGACACAAATGGAGAAACATTCCATGCTCATGGATAGGAAGAATCAATATTGTTAAAATGGCCATACTGCCCAAAGCAATTTACAGATTCAATGGTATTCTTATCAAACCACCAATAACATTCTTCAGATAATCAGAAAAAAAAAGAACTTTAAAATTTATATGGAACAAAAAAAGAGCCGAAATAGCCAAAGCAGTCCTAAATGAAAAGAACAAAGCTGGAGGCATCACATTACCCAATTTCAAACTATACTACAGGGCTACAGTAACCAAAACCACATGGTACTGATACAAAAGAAGACACCTAGACCAATGGAACCCAATAGAGAGCCCAGAAATAAAGCTACATACCTACAAATAAGCAATGGGGAAAGAACTTCTCATTCAATGAATGGTACTGGGATAATCAGCTGACCATATGCAGAATATTGAAAGTGAACCCCTTCCTTACAGCATATGCAAAAATCAACTCCAGATGGATTAAAGACTTAAATGTAAAACCCCAAACTATAAAAACTTGGGAAGATAACCTAGGCAATACCATTCTGGACATAGGAATGGGCAAAGATTTCATGACAAAGATGTTCAAAGCAATTGCAACAAAAGCAAAAACTGACAAATGGGACATAATTAAACTAAAGGACTCTACACAGCACAAGAAACTACCAACAGAGTAAACAGCCCATAAAATGGGAACAAAATATTTGTAAACTCTGCATCTGACAAAGGTCTAATATCCAGAATCTATGAGGAACTTAAATATGCCAACAAGCAAAAAACAAACAACCTAAATAAAAAGTGGAAAAGGACATGAATAGACACTTTTCGAAAGATATACGTGTGGCTAACGAGCATAGGAAAAAAATGTTCAACATCACTTATCATTAGAGAAATGCAAATCAAAACCACAACAAGATACTCTCACATCAGTCAGAATAGTTATTACTAAAAAGTCATGAAATAACAGATTCTGGTGAGATTACAAAGAAAAGGGAATGTTTATACACTGCTGGTGGGAATATAAATTGGTTCAGGTATTGTGGAAAGCGGTTTGGCAATATTGCAAATAACTTAGAACTACCATTCAACTCAGCAATCCCATTGTTGGGTATATACCCAAAGGAATATAAATCATTCGTCATAAAGACACATATACATGAATGTTCACTGCAGTACTATTCACAACAGCAATGTCATGGAATCAAACTAAATGTCCATCAGTGGTAGAACGGATAAAGAAAATGTGGCACATATACACCATGGAATACTATGCGGCCATAAAAAAGAATGAGATCGTGTCCCCTGCAGCAACACGGATGGAGTTGGAAGCCGTTATCCTAAATGAACTAATGCAGGAACAGAAAACCAAATACCACATGTTCTCACTTATAAGTAGAAGCTAAACACTGAGTACACAGAAACACAAAGAAGGGAACCACAGACACTGGGGCTGGAAGGAGGGTGAGGACTGAAAAACTACCTGTCTGGTATGAGGCTTATTATCTGGATGATGAAATAATCTGTACAACAAACCCTCACGACCTGCAATTTACCTATATAATAAACCTGCACGTGTGCCCCTGAACCTAAAACAGAGGTTAAAAGATTTGGACTATTTTCCTTCTTTTGAACAAAGACATTTGTTTGCCCAAGGACTACAAATAAGCCAAGGGGAGAGAAGGAAGGTTCCAGTTCTGCCTGAAAATTCTGATTAAGCCCCTGGGCCCTACAGCCTGGACACCTACAGAACCCAGCTTTGTCCCCAAAGAATAAAAATGCCTCTCTAAAAGCTGCTTGTCCACCTTTCTTTGGATTCCCCATTGGTTTACAGGGCCAGGGATGGCAGCAGCCGGGACCCCGGGATGAGGCAGTGCCCAGGGAGAGGGGAGCAGAAGACGTTCAGGGAGGGAGGGACAATGAGGCTGGGACAGTGGGGAAGGGCCCAGTGAAGAGGAGAGGGGCATCTTTGAAGGCTTTGGGCAGGGAGAGTGGCTGGGGAAGCCTAGCCATGCAACCTACCCAGCAGCAAATAGCACACTCCCACCTTTCTGCCTGGGCTTTGAGGGGAACCCATTAGGGCCCCTGCCTCTGCCAGGGGAGGAAAATAGGTGTGGGTAGGACATCTTTAGATTTCCCTCCCTGGTTGGCAGCTCTGTGATATGGTGGACCAACCCTGGGTTCGAATCCCACCTCCCCACTTACTACACGTTCTCACTGGGAAACATCTTTAGAGAAATGCAAATCAAAACCACCATGAGATACTATCTCACATCAGACAGAATAGCTATTATTAAAAAGTCAAAAAATAACATGCTGGTGAGGTTGCAAAGAAAGGGGAACACTTACACACCGCTGGTGGGAATGTAAATTAGTTCAGCCACTACCAGAATGGTAGTTCTGTCTTAAGTGATTTGAGATCTTGCCAAACTGCTTTCCAATACTTCCGTTTCGGGAGTTGTGAAGTGGATGTGTTTGTATTCCTGTCTTCCTTGACCCAAACGGTGGAAGCAGTTCTCAGGCTTTGCTTTGCCCAGGTAAGTCAGGTCCTTAAGACTTTTTGTGGGGGAGCCTTGTCTAAAAAGAGGAAAGTGAACCCAAGGGCTGAGCACGCAGCGGCAGCTTCGAAAGAAACCCGGGGTTGGGTCAGGATGGGAAACGCAGGAAACTGAACGGGCTTGAGCCCCAAGTTCGGACCCAACCTCTTCCCTGTGTGCAGAAGGAAGGGCAGGGCCATGCCGTCCTCACCCAGAGCGCCGCCCGAGCCTCCCAGCACCGCCGGTCTCGCCCTCTGCACATGGGATCAACTGACCTGGAAACTACAGGTTTGGGGCTCTGCGAGCTGGGGCAGGAGCAGAGCCTTGCAGGTGGCTGCGCGTCACAAAGGCGGCCGGTGCCTGGCATTTAACCTGGGCCAGAGCAAGACGCAAGCCCCAGGCGCCCACGGAGTTGGCATCGGAGCAGCAGCTGCGCGTGCTGAGCAGGCAGGCGCGCTCGCGGTCCCTGCTGCCCAAACCCGGCACAGCCCAAGCAGGGCTCCGCCAACGGGAGCAGGCTGGGGTGGCGGTGGGAGGCCCTGAGGCCCGCGCTGGAGAAGCGGGCTGCTCTCATCACCGCCTCTGGGAAGCATCTGGCTGCAGGAGTTGCCGAGCCAACTCCCCTCCCGCGGTGGGTAGGATGTCTTTAGATTTCCCACTCCGCTTGGCAGCTGTGTGATAGGATGGACCAACCCTGGATTCGAATTCCACCTCCTCACTTACTACATGTTCTCCCTGGGAACCTTTATTTACCTTCAACACCTCCGTCTCTGTATTTGTGGAATGGATGTGTTTGTATTCCCATCTTCCTAGACCAGATGCTGCAGAAGCCCCTCAGCACCAACTTACTTATTAATGGCAGCCAGGTCTTGTATAGCGTTTACTATGTGGCAGGCACTGATTCTGGTGCTTTCCATGTATCAGCTCACTTAATCCTCCCAACACTAGGAGAAAGGCACCATTATGACCCCTATTTACTGATGGGGAGAGGGGAAGTGGAATCTCTGGCTTCTAGAACATAATCTTTACCACATCGCTCAGGGCCCCCTGATCCAGCACCTCCCACTGCTCCCATGTGACCCAGCTTCTCCATTTTCAGCCCACTTAACAAGTGCCAGATGACCAATTTTTAGTTCCCTCAATGTGAGCACATCACACGCATTCACAGTTCTGTGGCTTTGCATGTATTGTTCCCTCTACCCAGAATGCATCAGTTCCTCCACTGCTACCACTAGGCCCACCTGGTCTGCCTTGCAAATCCTACTCACCTTTCAAAACCCAGCTCAGACGTCACCTCCTCTGAGCAGCCCTCTCTTCTTCCTCCTTAGCCAAACAGAATAAGTCACCCTCCGTGTGTGCTACCCTGCACTATGAGTCTGCCTGAACCTTCCCACTCTCTCACTGGGTTATAACTGAACTGGTCTGTGTCCCTGGATAGACTGTGAAATCCTTGCAGGTGTGGGCTGTCTCATGACTTTATCCTTGAACCACCCACACCTGGCACGGTGCCTAATACAGTTGGGACCACAGGGAAAGCTGGTTCATTTGGGTTTAATTTCTGTTTGACAAGTAATGGCACTTGATTTTTACTCTCCACAGAAAGCAAGTGATTACTTTTCTTTCCTTGTTTTTGGAAGCCCTGCCTAACATACAGCTGCACTGTTCATCCCAGTTCCTGGATGGACGAAGAGAGTGAACTGATCCAGCCCGAAGACGAGAGCTGCTGGGCCAGTCTGCCTGATCTGTGCCTGTGCCGTGTTTTCTGGTGGCTAGGAGACAGGGACAGGTCCAGGGCTGCTCTTGTCTGCAGAAAATGGAACCAGATAATGTATTCTGCTGACCTCTGGCGGTATAGGACCATCACCTTCAGCGGGAGACCTTCGAGGGTACATGCATCTGAGTTTGAGTCAGCTCTTTGGTATGTTAAGAAGTTTGGTCGTTATCTGGAGCACCTGGAAGTCAAATTCCTGAATCCTTACAATGCTGTCTTGACCAAGATGTTCCAGGTCACTATGCAGGGCCTTCTGTCTCGTCTGGGCAAAAGCAACAACCGTCTGAAATCTCTTTCCATCCAACACCTGGAGCTGGACCGCCTGGTATGGAGGAACAGTATCAGGAGATCGTTTGTCAGGAGCTTGAGCTTCTTCTTGAAGAAGATAGGCAAACACCTGGATTATCTCAACCTAAAAGGGGCCAGGCTGACGGTGGAGCAAGGCTGCCACGTTCTCAACTCCCTCAGCTACATGAGGAATAAGAATGTGATCTCGGAGCTCAACATCGAGGACTACTTCAGCCATCACCTTGCTGTCTACAGCAGCGCCCAATTCAAAAAGACCATGTCCACGTTCCACAATCTTGTGTCCCTGACCCTCAACTACAACTGTATCTCCGACGAGCTGCTTGAGAACTTGTGTGAGAACAATGCCAGTACCCTCTGGACCATAAACATCAAATGCCACATTCATGACCCCCATGGACAGGTCATCTGGGGTATGTCCTGGGCCAAGTTAGGCAGGGAGGCCACCAATCTGAAGGTGAACTTCTTCTTTGAACGGATCATGAAGTACGAGTGCTTGGCCCGGATCCTCTTGCAGGAGATCCCGGTCAGGAGCCTCAGTCTGAGAAGCTGTTATTTCAGTGACCCAGACTGTTCCATGAGACCCACTCTGACGGATCTCCTGCCCACCTTCCGGCATACTCTGCAGGTAGGTAGGACTTGTGAGGAGTGACTGCTCCTTGGGTGACTGGCTTCCCCAGAGGAAAGCCCACTGCTGCCCACTCTTGGTTGGGATCCCAAAAGTCACTCAATCTCAAGTTGAAGTTCTAGGAAATATCACCAACCAAGCCACCTGCCCTCCTCCCAAGATGACGGTAGGCAACAAAAGCTGCTGCTCACTTCCTACATGTGGCACAGACACAAGGAATTTTCTGGTTAGCTGTCAGCCAAGGAAAGCTCCTAAATCCCCACTCAGAGCTATGAAGCCTGAGCCAGGAGGTGCCTTGCTGGTGAATAGCGGTTGTGCTCCCTCTTCCTACCTTTCTACCAGGTCACAGCAGCATGTAGGAGACCCCATGGCTCCTATGGCCAGATCTCAGCAGGGGATCTGCCTGGTCATAGCAGTGCCTGCGCCTGGTAATTGGGAAGATAGAATAGGGAGGACCAGGACAAACAAAAACCCAATTTGATTTAGGCAACTGAAGAGCTGAGTTTCTGGGCTGCTCCCCGATCTAGCAGTTTTCTCACCTGTAAGATCAGTATCATTTTGTCTTTCCAAGGACCTCACAGTGGTCGTGACTGTAAGGTTGACCGAAAGGATGGAGAGGCAGACCCAGGCTCAGGTTTTGCAAGTTTATTTCAACCTGCCAGGCTGGCTGCCTCACCACAGGCCGTGAAGGCAGCAGCCTGGCTTACCAACTATGGGAGTTATGTAGGGGGTTTGCAGGTAGCCTGGTGCTATTCTAATAAAAACTTCATCTTGGTTCTCAGGGGCTAACATTCTGCTTAATTGGGTTAACGTCCTGGGTTCGAGAGCCAGGTGTGACCACATCCTGGAACCCACGTGCCCTGTTTACAAGGCTTGAGGCTGTTTTTGTTATGAGCTCGGCTTAGCAGGGGAGAACAAGGAGGGGGTCTATGGGCTTGCCTTGCTGTGACCCTAACAGTGACCATTGATATTAACAGGTTTATGTATCTCTACAAACATGGATGGACTGCAAGGTGCCAGTACCTCACTAGGTACTCACATAACCCTAAGGTGAGGTAGGGTGGACATCATGATGATCCTTAGGTGCTACAAAAGAACTCGAGGTTCAGTGACCAGCCCATAGTCACCCAGCCAGTCCTGCAGGGCTGGGATGAGCACCTTGCATACTCCAAGTATACTGCTCCAAATTTCAGGTTTGCAAACTTGGATGAGATCACCATCATTCTCAAATCTCTTCCTCTAAAATTTACATGTCCAATGTCCCTTATCTAAAAAGGCCCAAATTCCATTAACACCAGACCTGTCCTACAAGAAATGCTAAAGGGAGTCCTTCAATCTGAAAGAAAAAGGGCGTTAATGAGCAATAAGAAATCATTACTATTACTATTACTAGTAATAGTAAGTATGCAGAAAAACAGAATATTGTAACATTGGAATTACAGTGAGTAAACTATTCATATCTTAAGTAGAAAGACAAAAATATAAACCTATCAAAAATAATCACAACAACAACTTTTCAAGACATGACAGTACAATAAGATACAAATAAA